CAAATGGCTGTATGGCTGTAATGGCCAGTCAAGGCAGAAGCCAGGAACTTCATCTGGTTATCCCACATGGGTGGCATCCAGCCCATTTGGGATGCCAGGGTTATGGGCTGTGGCTTAACCTACTGCACCACAACACCAGCCTCTATAACATTTAACTAAGTCAAAACATTCTACAAAGAAACATCAAGGATTGCAGGGGTGAATGACAATTTTTTTAATATTCAGGGAAAAAATATCCAAGTTAGAAGGCAAATTTCTAGAAATCTTACTGCCAGACAAAAAAAGAAGCAATTAGAAAAATTAAAAAAGTGTTGGATATTTGTGGTAGACTATCAAATGACCCAACATACAGGTCTTAAGAGTTGCTGAAGGCATGGAAAGAAAGAATGGATTAGAGGCCTTTTTAGTGAAATAATTACAGAACACTTCCCTAATTTGGAGAAAAAAAATAACATCCAAGTATAGGAAGCACATAGAATATCTAATAGACATGACCAGAAAATATCTACACACGACACATTGCAGTCAAACTTTCCACAGTAAAATGAAGAGTTAAAATTGTATATGTACGGGTGTCAAAAGTTAAGCTTAAGCTTACAGGTTTAAACCTTCCTGTTACAGCTGTGAAAATAAGACAGAGTAAAGTAACACCTTGACAGTAGGGACTCCATTTTGGAGCACTTGAGACTGCATTCTGGGAAAGCACCCCCCCACCCTGCCGTGAGACTCTGGTCTGAAACTATGATCTCAAATAGTCGGACAATAGCAGTGCACTACATCACCCTTGGCAACGCACAAAAACCCCCTAGCATGATTGCTCAAGCTTAAAAGTAGAAAGGTTGCACCTGGGTTACCTGGGCTGCTAATGAAGATGTGATTTGTCTATGTCTTAAAATCATAATTGCTGATTGTAAGATTTTAGCAACCGCTTAGCAACCGTGTATTCTCTCCCTCCTCCCGATTTTGCGGTTTTTGCCTTTATAAACCCTATGCTGTAGTTCCTCACTGCTCCTCTGTCCTTGTCAGAGGGCCCCAACATGTTGGATCAATAAATTTAACCCTTTGCTGGTTGCATGAGAGAAAAAGTCTCTTGGAGTCGTTCCTCGGGCGGTGGGCTTTTTTTTAGACCCTAACAAAAACACCAAAGCAAAGATTCTAAAATGTGCATGAGAGAAACACCAGATTATGTCAAGGATCTCCAATTAAACTCACAGCTGACTGCTCATGAGAAACCCTATAGGCTAGGACAGAATGCAAGATATACTCTAATTCTTTTTTTTAAGATTTATTTATTTATTGGAAAGTCAGAATTACACAGAGAGAAGAGAAGGAGAGACAGAGAGAGGCCTTCCTTCTGATGGTTCACACCCCAATTCGTCCCAAAGTCCTGAACTGAAGCCAGGATTCAGGAGCCAGGAGCCCATTTCGGGTCTCTCACAGGGATGCAGGGTCCCAGGTTCTTGGGCCATCTTCTACTGCTTTCCCAGGCCATAGCAGAGAGCTGGATGGCAAGAGGAGCAGCTGGGACTAGAACCTGCGCCAATATGTGATGCTGGCACTGCTAGTGAGAGCTTTAACCTGTTGCGCCACAGTGCTAGGCCCAGCTTACTCAATTTTTCATCAGAGATGGAAATGGAAATGTAAAAACAGATAACCCAGAAATAAAAAGTATCATCAGAAACTACTACAAAGAGCTGCATGCAAACAAACCAAGTAACCTAGAAGACATGGATAGATTCCTGTACACATAAACCTACCAAAATTGAGCTATGAAGTCATTGAAAACCTAAACAGATAAATAACTAAGACAGAAATTGTATCAGTAATAAAGACCCTCCCCTCTCCAAATATGGCTTACTACACAATGTGCTAACATTAGCTCCAGAATTCTCTATTTTTAGAGCAAACTACTGCATTAAATTATATAATTAAATATATTTTGTCTTCTCTTAAAAAAGGAACAAAGAAAAATCAGAATTAGAGAGTGGATCAGAGAAAAGAAAGAGGTTTTCCATCTGCTGGTTCTTTCCCCAGGTGGCAATAATTACCAGGGCTGAGCTAGCTATGCTGAAACCAGGTACCAGGAGCTTCATCTGGGTCTCCCACATGGGTTGCAAAGTTCCAAAGACTTAGACACCTTTTTCTGCTTTTCACAGGGCATAAGCAAGGAACTGGACCAAAAGTGGAGCCGCTGAGACACGGACCAGTAGCTACATGAGATGCTGGAATCACAGGCAGCATTTTTATCTGTTGTGGCACAAAGCCAACTCCAGTAGTTTCATTCTTAACCTGCTCAGTTTTTTGAGTCAAAAATTCTCAGATAACAGCTCTTTGAAGGCTTACAACACTTTCTCTGTAATGACACATTCCATATATAGAAGTGTTCTTAACGAGTTCATGGGAAATGATATGATGATATTACTATACTTCCTTTAAGAAGCAACTTTTAATTTTGAGGAAATTTTAGATTTATAGAAAAGCGGCAGAGATAATACAGAGAGGTTAAATACTCTGCTCAGCTTGCTTACCCTCATGTAATCATCCTGCATTACCATACAATGATACATCATACATTTGTCAAATCCAGGAGGCCCCTGTTGGTCTGTGACCATTAATTACGTGTCAGACTTGATCAGGTCTCATTCATTTCTCCATGGATGTCTCTTGGCTCCAGGACCCAATCGCAGTTCCCATGATGCATTTATGCACCATGTCCCCTTCACTTCCTAGCTGTGTTCACTTACTTTCATGCAACCTAGCAAGTAATAATACACTGAATATCTTTTTAAATCTCTGGAAAATTAAACATTTCAGAAAGCTCTTTTTTTTTTTTTGCATTGTCACTTTTGCCAAAATGGCGTTCAAATGATTGCTAGAAAACCATAAGAGTTATTTTGACATTTTCTGTATAGCAACCAAACTCAACTTACTATAATTCCATAACTGTATACTTGAGATGGGAAGTCTGGGAAAAGAGCATGAGCAGTTGTTGGTATGAGGAAGCATCTGACTTTTCACTATGGCTCTGCTTCTGCTGACACTTTTATGATACTGTAGAAGCAAAGTAAAAAGTGATGAGAAGAAGGAAACAAAAGCCCAAAATTTCAGACACCAATGACAAAACTGTAAAAATGATCCCAATTAGACTGATTATACTGATATATTAGTTACTGAGCAAAAATTGCATGTAAAATACTCTAAGTGTCAGAAATGAAGCAGACCATGTCCTCTCATTTTTCACTCCTTGTTCACACAGATTCTTATTTATTTCCTAAATAACCAATTTGTCCCTATTTTTTCATTGTAATATAACAGACTATTGAGCAAATCATTTCTCACACATATTTAATTTTTTACCAACTGTAAATTAAAAATACATGGAAATAGAGGTTTATAAGAAGTAATTTAAAAATTAAAAACATTTTCTCCTGGATCTTTGTTTTGGATAAATTATTTCAAAACTGTATGCATTCCGGGTTCATATATTTAAACTATTCTGCTGCAATGTTTCCATGAGCATTTCTCCTGTTCTTATTTTATGAACTAAGACATTCATTTCATCTTGGGTTATATCTTGGTTTCTACTATGTTATCAATGCTTCATGATTCAATATAATGTTTTTTTTTCTTGTTTGGAATTGTGATAGCAGCTAGATTAACCTAGTATTAAATAATGACAAAGGAATGGTACTTACGTGTACCTTAAAGAGTATATAAATTTCATATAGAAAAGAAGTAAAGAAAATATTCTGAGAGGTGCTAAAAATAGATTGGTATTTTTGGGTGTAAAGGTGTGTGGGTGTTTTAATGACAGGTGAGAGGTTTGCTGAAAATATAATTAGCCTATGAATAATAGTTGTTATATTAGAGATATACGTTAGCTGTACAGAATAATAATTATCTGTGAGCCTGGAAGATCATAGTTCCTGGCCATGCCTTAAAACTAATGTTTGCCTTTAAGAGAAAGCTTGGTTGCCTGGAGTATTAAAAAAAAAATCACCATCCTTAATACATTTATTTATGTGAGAGACCTACCTCCTGAAGAGAGATTCTAAAGAAAAATAGAGGAAGCCAAAAAGCAAATCTAAAAAAAGAATTGATAGAGAATCTAGCTTTGTTGCTGTTATTTTAAAGGGGCTCATGAGGGAAGGAATTTCAAGACACAGGAAAATACCTTCAACATAAATAAAGGAGGAAGCTGATACAGACATGGATTTCAGCTGATGTTACTCACTTTCTTGAGAATTAAAAGTGTGAGAACATTGAGAGCTTATTAGGTGTGAAGATCCATGTGTTGGATCTGAAGAAAACAATTGCCTTTTTTACAAACTAGCACCTACTTCTAGGGTTAATTAGGGCATAGGGCTGCTCAGTGGATTAAACAAATAGCTTTTGAATTTTGACAGCTATGGCTGTAATTAGTGGACCAGAAGACTTTGACTTTGATGCTTTAAAAAGAGCTATATTTAAGCCCACGCAACATGTTAAGTCTTTCAGTTGCTAGAGCTGTCTCTTCCTTATTTAAAGAGAATCTGTTTCTTCAGATAAGTTGAAGAGAATACAAGTGGAAAAAGTGTTGTTTTCAAATCAGTACACCCAGGATTGTATACATTTACATTTACTGTAAATCAAGCAGTCTGGATATTCTTAGTTTGACTTTTTTTTTTTAACAAACATGCCAATGTTTGTGCATATATGACATTTCTCTATGTTTACCAGTTATATAACAGTTGCAGATTTTCCATATTCTATAAAAGGGAAATTGGAGAACTCAGGCTAAGCAGGATATGGGTGTTTCTCTTTTCATATTTTACAGGTTTAGAAATGATATTGTTAACTGTTCCCTAATCTCATGCCTGTTTTTTTTTTTTTTTCATTTTCCAAGCTCTATAGTAATTGCTGTAGTTATATTTTGAATGTTCATACAACTTCCTTTTATACTTGATTGACTTTCTGACACATGGGTGGGAACAAGTGAGACACTGACACCACTGGTAACTTTCTGTGTGGGAATATCAGTGTCATGTGATCGTCTGCACCTTCACACAAGGTCTCTGTGAGGGACGGTCTCACACATCAGGACCCGCCTGGTCTCACAGCAGAGGTGAAGCCAGCAGAGCCGGGACGTGCTCGCCTGCTCCTGACCAAGCCTGTGCTCCAGCTGGGGACATCCCAAGGTACAGACACAGACAGCAGCTACTGTGGGTGTGTGAGTCCATCTCCATGTCGCCTCTCACCCTGTTGATGACAGAGGAATAGAGTAGCTCTTGGTCCGGGAGAGATGTGTGGAAAGGTGGGGTTAAACTATGATCCATGTTAACATCTAAAGTTACCTTTATTCTAGAGGAGAGTGTAGGAGTGGATCAGAATGAGAATTTGTCAAAAGAATTCAATAGACATGAAATTTTTAAAAATGTCACATGTTTTGTGGTATATTTATTTCCTTTTTTAAGACATATTATATACTTTTATTTCTCATCACAATGGATGCTATTTATCCGGCTAGCAATGAATAACCCAAACTTTGAATTACCTTAGCATGATGTAACCTGTGATAAATTTTGAAACCTTTGTTAATATGTTCATTTTCTATCAATAGAAATCTAGTCTAATATGTACCAATTCATTTTGTTGATATTTATGTATATAGATATAAGACAAAAATAACTGCACAAAAATCAGTTATTTCAGAAAATATATGACCTCGAGCAAAGATTTATTTTAATCTTTTATTTATTTATTTGAGAGGTGGAGTTACAGACAATGAGAGGGAGAGACAGAGTGAGATCTTCCTTCCATTGGTTCACTCCCCAGTTCTCCACAATGGCTGGAGCTACAGGATCCGAAGCCAGGAGCCAGGAGTTACTTCCCAGTCTCCCATGCAGGAGCAGGGGCCCAAGGACTTGGGCCAACTTCTACTGCTTTCCCAGGCCACGGCAGAGAGCTGGATTGGAAGAAGTGCAGCCGGGACTAGAACAGGTGCCAATATGGGATGTTGGTGCTGCAGACGCAGGATTAACACACTGCCCCACAGCACAGTCCCCCGGAGTTAAGATTTATATTGTAATTGGGAGTATGTGTTTCTCATCTATAATTTGAAAACAGTAGCAATGTGTAGACTTGCTGTTAGAATTATAAGTGATGCTTATCTCAGTTAATGATACTTTCATACACCCCGACCTAGAAATTCCATCATTTCTCCATTTTTCTCAACTCTGAGGTCATGTCCATGAAGGCCAGTGACTATCAGGATGATGAGATAAATGAGTGCTGGGGTGTGAGAGAATATGATTCAGCAGCACGGGGTGTTCATTGAATTAGTGTGTGTGTATGTGTGTTTGTGTGTGTGTGTGTGTGTCCCTCATGTAAGAGATGCCTCTGTCATGTTGTGGTGATCATTTGGACCTAATACATGCACTGAGTATCAAGTTAATTTTTCAAGAGAGGGTATAAATTGGATATTTATGTACAAATTATATCCATTTCCAAATTTTGGCAACTAATTAAGTTACTTTAAAACAGTTTAAAAGTTTAATACAGTATGTCCATAAACTAAATAGGATCTCTCTTCTAAAACATCACAAAAAGGAATTTAAATCACTTTTTTCTGGCCAGCATTGTGATGGGATGGGTTGAGTCAGCACCTGCAATGCCAGTTCCCATATCAAAGTACTCGTTTGTGCCCTTGCTGCTCTGCTTCAGATCCAGCTCCCTGCTAATGTGCCTGAGATGACAGCAGAAGATGAGCCAAGAGTCTGGACCTCGGCTACCCATGTGGGAAACCTGATGGAGCTCCTGGTTCCTGGTTTCAGCCTGGCCCAGCCCCTAGAACGCCAGCCATCTGGGGAGTGAACCAGTGGAGAGAAATTCTCTTTCTAACTTTCCCTCCATCTCTCTCACTCTGGAACTCCCTGCTTTGCAGATAAATAGAATAAATTTTTAAAAAATCTTTTCTGTTTTTTCCAGGATTAGGGTGATCTTAATTCACTTTCTACAGGCCAGAGCGTATATCATTCCTGCTACTCTCCCCGTTATTCATGAAACATTTCCCCGAATTTAGCTGAATCTGTTATGTCTCGTGAAACATCTCTGGTTCTTGCTGTGTTTTTAGCCTGAAGCTCTCAGAAATGAGTGAGGAGAAAGTGACATACTCAGAACTGAAATTGTCTCACGCAAAGAAAAAGGAAGGCAAAGGACATCTAGCTCACAAAAAAAGAGGTAACTTTTCTTGTTTTCTGATTTCTGAGAACATAATGTCAGGTAGAAAAAAAATAACATATTTAAAAGCCATATCTATTCGATATGGAATGTCTAGTTCCTTATTTTACTTTAGATATTGGGAGATCCATTTAAGTGTAGTATCCATGAGATTTTTGATTAGGATGAATGTGTGATTTTAATGCTAATTTCCAGCATAAATGTTTGTCCTGCTTAGGTTCTTATCTGTTTACCAAGCTCATTATATACCCACTTTTTAAATTTTTTTACAGAAAACCCATGCACAGTAATCCTGGGCATCATCTGTGCTCTGCTCCTGCTGGCAAGCATAGGGTTAGGATATATGTGTGAGTATGTGCACCTGTGTGGGTGTGGATGGGCAATAAGAAAAAGAGAAGGAAATCGATTAGCCCAAGAAATGGTGGATTTTAAAAATAAGAAGTCTTTTTTTTCTTTTTAGTTGTGGTCTAGAATACAGACACTGTAATAGGTTGCTGAACTGGAGGAAGAGTTACAGTTATTGTGAAGGGGACATGAAGGGACTATGTATTTGATATTGCTAGATTTTTACAACCAGATAAAATTTAATGTTGGTACATAGGGGTGTCATTGGAAATGAAAAGATTCTGATGTGTGACAAACACTTGAGTGATTTTTTTCAAATTATTTATTCGAGGGAGGGATGGAGGAAGAAAGAGAGAGAGAGATCCCACCTTCTCATTATCTAAGCAAACTTGTGTGCCTGATATGGACAACAGGCATTTTTTAAAAATGGAACAATAGCTTTTTATTTTACATTTTTATTCTCAACTTAATGGAAGAAACTGCTGTTTCTCTCATAGACTTTTAACTTTCCTTTTGCACATTCGAAATATCTATGAACTGATTTGCCGTGCATATTTTATGCATTCATTATACATACAGGCAAATCACTTATGTCAATATGTAAATGCTAAATTGAGTCACATGCTGAGAAACCATTATTTAAAGATGGCATAAAATCTAGTTCATTTTTAATTTCCTTTGTTTCTAGTTTATGAAATGAACACTACTTTTTTATGTGTCTTGGAAATAATAGATTTCAAGTTACATATAATTTTAGTTTTATATAAAATATATTTTATGGCCTGACACAAAAATATTTTAACTTTATCTATGATTATAATCCCAAGTAATCATCACCATGTTCTTTTATACCTAGAATTATAGGATATGATCATAATTAAGTGATCTTTTAAGTCATTTATGTTGTTAATTTTGTAATGTGGATTGAAGCTTTTCAGAAGTGTCCTAAATGCACAACACAGGATAAGGAAAACACAAAAGAAAAGAACACATCCTCAGTACAGCTGGAAGATCATTCAGTGGTGCTGTCCGGTAGAGGTTTGTACTCAATGTTTAAGTTCATAGCCGACAGGTTATTTTCATAGACTTACTGCCTTCTGTCCATTTCAATATATAAACTTTAAAAAGTTGATATTGGATCTTATGAGGAGTTATAGGTTTTAACTTTACTCTTCTCATTAAATCTATTTTTAAAATCATAGTTAACTAAGCATTCGAGTTTGAAAAGATGTTTGGGTACAGAAAAACTCTTCTTTTATGCTAATTCCTTCTGAAGAAAAAATTAAATACCTAAAATCTTGTTTTCTAAATGGCCTGGTGTCTTGGGGTGGGGGTGACTTGTTTTGAAGAACAAGCCTGTGGCTTCTTGCAAGGAAGACACTTTTGTTGTGGAAGAAACTGCTACTATTTTTCTAAAAAAGAAGAAACATGGGAGGAGAGCAGGAATTTATGCCGGAACATGGGTTCTAGCCTTGTGAAGATTGATGACATCCAGGAACTGGTATGTTCACTTAATTAACCTTTATGAGAAGCTTGCAAAGACTGAGTTAGGCTACCTGTGTTGGCTTTCCTTGAGTCTTATTTGACTGCAGGGTGGAAACACTTGTATTTGTAGAGGGGAAGACATGCTTTAAGGACCTAAATAATTTCACTTTCTAAAGCAGCAGAGGTGGCTTATTGTGTGTGCCATGGAATTATATTGAGTCCTTACTACTTATGTTTTCATGATTTGTGAATGATAAAAAAAAAACACCTGAATGAGTGAATTAGTTGGCACTTAATTTTAGTGATTCTTCAGAGCCCTAGAATAATAAAGTATATTTTAAACCTTCTTCTACAATATCTCTATGTATTTCATAGGTTTCAAAAGAGAAAACATTATAAGTTTCTTCTTATAGAAGTTAACTAAAGTGGAAAAATAATGGAGTGTGTATCTGGGACAGAGAACAGGAAAGAAAAGTGAAATAGAGAGTAAATTGCATTTGGAAATAAAATCAATTTTTTTGCCTAACATTTGAGTACCCAAGGAAAGCATTTAAAAGGAATAAAATATAACTGAAATAATTATGAAAATATACACTAACGTTAGGTTTACAGTATGTCAGATCTTAATATGCATTATTTCAGTGCATAAAAACTTCCACATAGGTAATGCCATTCCCATATTTTAGACAAGGAAGAAACTCAAGGAGTTTAGTTTGTTTGCCTTTGCTCACATAGTAAGTTAATTACATAATCTGCTTTAAAATTTGTGGCTAGAGTTCTGATTTCCATAGCTGTATGATATTCGTGGTATCACATGGAGAGATGTTACTTAACATTCTCTAGGTGATGGGAATTTGGGTTGTTTCCACTGCTGTTGTGATGAGCAGCTCTTCATTAACCATCCTTAGACACGTCAGCTGTGCACGCCTTTCATGTGTCTCCTCTGCAGTTCATCACAAACCTGTATGAGTGCAATTATTGGGTGTTTCCAATTTTACAAAATAATGCCACAATATTTTTCAATTTGCTTTTTCTGCTAGTATGAAGATATTCTATTGTTTCCTACCATCCTAAAATCTTGTGTTTGCTCTATGTAAAGCATTTCCTTGTAGCTTTGTTTGCCTTTACTTGATCTCCACTGAACTTGATATCCTTTATTGTTCATATATGTTTTCTATGAACATTTTCTTCATTTTTTTTCTTTTGGATGATTTTGCTTTCCAATTGATTTATATGAACTAATGTTTTGTTCTTGGAACTACATTACTATATGCATGTCCAGATTTGAAACTTCCCTTCCCATGTTCTTCAAGGCGTGTTTTGATGAAGAGAAGTTCTAAGTTGAATGAATCCATACTTACCAATCACTTGTTTAGTATTATGCTTGGAGATTTTTGTGTCTTTCTAAAGAAGTTCACCATGGTCCTTTCTTGATATCTTTCAAGCCACAAAGATGCAGGAGATTCAGACTTTTAGAACTTTGACTTCCATGGCTTCTCTGCACAGTAGATGAACTAAGATTGCCTTAAGTGAAATGATTAGTATTTTGTACAAGTCCTTTGTAGATAAAAGGCTATTATTGATGTAATGAGTAATACTAGTAATTCTAACTTGTGCACAGAATTTCATTCAATCACACATCAAATACACTTACTGGATTGGATTATACCAAAAAGAAGATAAAAATGAGTGGAAGTGGCGGGACAACACGAAACTTGCTCAGCAACTGTAAGTTTGCATTTCACATTCTATGAGGTAGGAAATCACATAGTGTACTAGAGGATCCTGAGTGCCATGGAGCACTATTCAGTCCCTGCTGGGTCAGGGAGTACAGTTCGTGTTGGGGGCAGTGGAAGGAAGAGGTTTTATGTTTTTAATGGGGGAGACACAGGTGATCTAATGTGATAATGGTGTTGGTATAATGATTTAAAGGAGGTGAATGAGAAAGCTAAGGGAGCTCTCTGATGGGGTAGGATCCTGCAAGGAAGACTAACTGGTGTAGAGATGGGGGAGTGCATTTGGTTTTCTCGAGGAAACAGGAAGAGGATCTGTGAAACTGGAGGAATCTGAGTAAGGAAGGAAAAGTAAGTCAGAGAGATGACATGGATGAGATCATCTAGGAATGAGAGACCACAGAAAGACTTTGATTTCTCTTTTTTTCTTTTGACATGTAGAGTTATAGATAGTGAGAGAGAGACAGAGAGAAAGGTCTTCCTTCCGTTGGTTCACAGCCCAAATGGCCGCTATGGCCAGCGCTGCGCCGATCTGAAGCCAGGAGCCAAGTGCTTTCTCCTGGTCTCCCATGTGGGTGCAGGGCCCAAGCACTTGGGCCATCCTCCACTGCCTTCCTGGGCCACAGCAGAGAGCAGGACTGGAAGAGGAACAACCAGGACTAGAACCTGGCGCCCATGTGGGATGCCAGCGCCGCAGGTTGAGAATTAACCAAGTGATCTATGACACCGGCCCTAAGACTTTGACTTCTTAATGAGTGCAGTGATTGTCTTTTGGAGGGTTTTGAGCTGAGGGATGACAAGGACAGCCTTCCTATTCTAAAAAGTCCCCTGGACATTGTGTGGTCCTTAGGTGGTGAATGGGAGATACAGATTGCAACTAAGAGAGTCACACTGAAAGTCAGTTGTCATCAACCAAGTGAGTGATGGTGGTGGTTTGGTCAAGAGAGATAGGGAGGGTGCTGGGGAAACGGAACCAGATGCCAGACCTACTGTGAAAATGTGTGAGAGGAAGAGAATTCAGAGATGGCTGCCAGGTTTTAGTCCAGCAATGATGACAGTAGAGCTGTCATTAACTGTTACGAGGAGCATCAGGCATTCAGTTTTAGTGACAAGTTTGATACATCCATTATACATTTTGATATCTGTGGGCATGTCACATAGACATGTTGTGCATGATTGTAAACTTCATGTAAAAAATCTGTCCTAGGGATGTGTTTTTAATGTGTGTCAATGTATGCAGGGGTGTGGGCACTATGAGATGATATTTTGAGTACTTTTTTATGCTTTATTTTATTAGAAAATCAGAGTTGGAGAGAGATCCTCCATCTCCTGGTTGACTCCCCAAAAAGCCACAATAGCCAGAGATGTGCCAGGAGCTTCATCCAGGTGTCCCATGTGGGTGACGGGAGTCCCAGGACTTGGGCTCTCTTCTGTTAGTTTCCCAGCACATTGACAGGAGCTGAATTGGAGGTGGAGCAGGCATGAATTGAACAAGAGCTCATATGGGATGTTGGCATCTCAAACAGCAGCTTAATTCACTGTGCCACAAGGCCAGCCCCTGTTGTGGGGGTTTTGATTGCTGAGATATCCAGACCCTGATCCACGGGACACCCAAACATTTAGCTATTGTGGTGATGAGGATGATTACAAGAGGGTCCTAAGAAAAGTAGTGAGATTGAAAGGAGGAAACCAGGAAAGAGCAGTGGGATACCTAAAAAAGGCACAACTAAAGCAATGTGCCGAAGTTAAATGGTTGGTGACTTCTTGCCAATAATAATTTTGTGACTTGAAATTATTATTATCAGACTCATATATCTGCTGGGAAATTCAAATTATATACTTTTTTCCATATATCATAGCATAGTCCTATAAGTTAGAATCCATGTTGAATATTCTCATTGTCCAACATCACAAAATATCAACACTCTGTTTGGTGGACCAGACATGAGCTCAGTGGGAGTAAGGTCACCTTGTGTGTGAAATGCCAACCAGCTCCTCCTAGCGCTGAAGGTGAGGACCGGGCTGTGGCCTCCTGCTATATGCCCATCAATCTGAGCCACAGGACACTGGAGCTGTCTTTGTACCTAATTATAATGTGTTACTAATAACCTTACCTTATTTAGTAACTCTGGTGAGTTTCTGAAGTCTCAGAACTTCCAGAGTGAGCCCATCTAAAGCCTACCCACTGTGTTCTGTGTACCTAGTCCTCATCTGCAGTCATTCACCAGCATGAACTGTCCCTTAGCTTTAGAAATACTTACACCTTCTGATTTGCCACCTGTACATCTGTCAGAGGGATTTTGTGTTCACTTAATAATCACACACACACACATACACACACACACACATTTTTAAATTGTGACAATGAAATATTGCCCAAAGAATGATATTCTAAAATAAATATATTCTCTGACATAGGACTTTCCGTCAATCAAATAAAGTGGGTGAAAAATGTGGATGCCTGAAGCCACAATACATCAATAATGCTGATTGTTCAAGATCTTTTCCTTACATATGTGAGAAGAATAAGCCCTTCTTCAATAATTAGTACAACCTTTATGGATAGCAGTATGCAGATTCCTCAAAAGACTGAAAATGTTTCTGCCACATGACTCAGCCATCCCTCCTCTAGGAATATATCCTGCAGTAACAAAGTCCACAAGGAAAGAGATTCCTGGCATTCCCATGTTTACAGCAACCTAATGTTTAATAGCAAATATATGGAATAAACCTATATGTCCATAAACTGATTACTGTATGAAGAATATGTGTGTGATGAAATATTACTTAGCCACTAAAAATAATGAAATCCTAATGTTTGCAACAAAATGAATGCAACTATAGATCATTATGCTAAGTGGAATAAGCCAGACAAGGAAAAACAAATATCAAAAGTTCTCTCATATTTGGATAATAATATATAATGTATTAAAATGATATGAATTTCTTATTGTTTACTATATGCATAGGTAGAAGTATTCTCTTCACTGAATTGTATCATATATATAACAATTCACCCTCCTTTCCTCACTTCATGATCATTGACATGAATTCCATGTGATATTAAAATCCCTGTTTTCAAGAAAAGAGTGAATGTATGTATATAATAGCTACATATGAAGTGAATATGACAAGATCTTAAAAATTGTTAAATCTTAAAATAAATTTTGCAAATAAAAAAATTCAACCAAAAATATATTTTATTTTTGAGTGACACAAAGAGAGTAATTATATCTATTTTTTGGGGAATAGTATGATGTTTAATACATGTTTGCAATATGTAATGATCCACTAAGGGTAACTGGCATATCTATCAACTCAGGCACTTATTATTTCTTTATGTTGGGTACATTCAAATCTAGCTAACTGAAATATTCAATTGTTATAGGACATTCGAAGTTATTTCTCATAACCAGCTGCACCTCTGTACCAATAAACAATCTTCTCCCCATTACTCTCTCTGCTACCTGCTTTTCAGGCTCTGGTAACCACTATTCCAGTCTCTGATTTACAGTCAATGTTTTTTTTTTAATATTTTTTATTTTTTTTATTTTTTATTTATTTTTTGACAGGCAGAGTGGACAGTGAGAGAGAGAGACAGAGAAAAAGGTCTTCCTTTTGTAGTTGGTTCACCCTCCAATGGCCGCCGCGGACAGCACACTGCGGCCAGTGCACCGCGCTGATCCAATGGCAGGAGCCAGGTACTTATCCTGGTCTCCCATGGGTGCAGGGCCCAAGCATTTGAGCCATCCTCCACTGCACTCCCTGGCCACAGCAGAGAGCTGGCCTGGAAGAGGGGCAACCGGGACAGAATCTGGCGCCCCGACCGGGACTAGAATCCGGTGTGCCGGCGCCGCAAGGCGGAGGATTAGCCTAGTGAGCTGCGGCGCCGGCCTACAGTCAATGTTTAAGCTTCCATATCAAAGTGAAAATAGTTAGTGCTTGTCTTTCTGTATGTTACTTCAATAAAAGTAGTGTATTCTCATTCTTTCCATGCTCCTGCAAATGACAGAATTCCATCCTATTTATGGATGAGTAATATTCCAAACAGCATTTTTATCCATTAGGGACACTTAAGTTGAGCTCATATTTTGATTGCTGTGATCATTCTGAATTAAACATGCAAGTGCAAGGATTCTTCAATATACTGCTGTCAATTCCTTTAGATAAATATGCAGATATGCAGAGCAGTTATAACAAAACAGCCTTGTACTTGGCAAAAAACAGATGGATAGACCAATGCAGCATAATAGCAACTCCAGAAACCAGGCCACGCATCTATAATCAACTCTATTTGACAAGGAAGCTAAACTCAATTCCTGAAGCAAGGGCAATCTCTTCAACAAGTGATGATGCAAAAACTGGATTTTGCATGCAGAATATGAAACTAGACCCCTACTATACACCTTGCCAAATATCCACTCAAAATGGGTCAAAGACCTACGTCCATGACCCAATATCATCACAATACCACAGAACATTGGAGAAACCCTGCAAGATAGTGGCATAGGAAAGACTCATTTTAAAAGACCCCAGAAGTACAGCAATCAAAGCCACAATTAACAAATGGGATTACACCAAATTGAGATGCTTCAGCACTGCAAAAGAAACACTCAGCAAAGTGAAGAGGAGAAAATATTTGCAAACTATGCAAATGATAAAGGATTAATATCCAGAATATACAAGGGGGTCAAGAAACTCAACAACAACAGAACAAACAATCCAGTTAAGAAATGAGCAAAGGACTTGAACATTTTTCAAGAGGAAATTCAAACAGCTAACAGACCTGAAAAATGCTCAGGATCATTAGCCATCAGGGAAATGCAAATCAAAGCCACAATGAGGTTTTACTTCACCCCAGTTAGGATGGCTCTCATACAGAAATCAGTGAACAACAAATGGTGGTGAGGATGTGGGGAAAAAGTACCCTAATCCACTGTTGGTGGGAATGTAAACTGGTGTAGCCACTGTGGAAGACAGCATGGAGATACCTCAGAAATCTGAATGTAGATCTACCATATGATGCAGCCACCCCACTCCTTGGAATTTACCGAAGGAAAAGAAATCAGCATATGAAAGTCATCTGTATCTCCATGTTCATTGTAGCTCAATTCACTATAGCCAAGATATGGAATCAATCCAGATGTCCATCAAATGAAGACTGGATAAAGAATTATGATATATATATATATGTATATGTGTGTATATTTATATATATATACACTATGGAATACTACACACAGTAAGAAATGAAATCCTGTCATTCACAATAAAATGGATGGTACTGGAAAACATTGTACTTAGTGAAATAAGCCAATCCCCAAAAGATAAATACCGTCTGTTCTCCCTGATCTGTGCTATCTAATGCAGTTCCTAAGAGGTAATCTATAGGAATGAAATTGACACTTTGAGATGTGATTTTTATCAACTCTTGTCTTGACTGTTGAGGAGCAATGTTTTTTTTTTTCTTCATACTCTTTGATGAACACTTTGCTTAGTGTAGGGTTATTATGAGTGTAATATAACAGATAATATTATGAGTGTAATATAACAGATAATAGATATTTGTAAAAATTATGAATGGGAATAGAAGAGGGAAAAATAAGGGGGAGGCGAGAATGTGGGCAAGAGTGAGGTTGGGGTGGAAAGTATCACTATGTTCCAGAATCTGTTTATATAAAATTTGTATATTTTAAATAAAATTTTAAAAAGAAGAAAGAAAAATCTTCAGTGTCTAAAGATACTATTAAGAGAATGGAAGACTGGAAGGAATTATTTATACAACCTTTATATAAGTAAGTACTGGTAGGCAGAATATATAAACAATTTTCATAACAATATTAAGAATATGAACAACCCAATAAAATGTTCAACAGATTTGAATACATATATATGAAGTAGTTATACAATTATACAGTTGAAACAATACACACAAAAAGTTTCCCAATATAATTTATTCATTAGGGAAATATAATTAAAATCACAAATAAAATTTCACAACACCCTTATTAAAATGACCGAAGAAATGGCAATATTACATATCAGAAGGATGTAAACAAATGGAGCTTTCATGTATGCTGGAATGTAAAATGACAGGCACTCTAGAAAACACTTTGGAAGTTTTCTACTGATCAGGAAACTCAGATTCAAAAGTTTTCACTTGCCAGTGAACACACAACTATTAGGTATGGTGCAGTCCTCAAATTTAGAATGGATTCAGGATACTATTCTCTTCTCCTTCCAGATCCCATATTGTCTTTCTCCTAAGAGATAAAGATTCAAACAGAAATGCATACATGCTTCATACAAAATACTGTCCTTAATTACTACACTGCATTTACTTCTAGTCGAATTGCACAATAGCGCCTGAAATTTATGGAATTATCTATGAAAGTGTGTGAGTTGCAGGAAGAGTATTCCCAGCTCTGTTTCCTGACCCTCATCAGAGCCCTGAAACTGTTCTGATCCATCTTGTTTTCATAGATGCTGTGATCATGAAGTCTTGAATTGAAAATGGTAGAATTCCAAAGTCTCTGGCATCTCATTTTAGTAGACCAATACTTAGAACTCATTTTAATCAGGCTAGAATATAGGTAGAGCTCTTTAAAAATGCAGATGCTCTGAAGTGAGAGAAGACTCCAGAGCTCCCAAGGGTTTGAATTTTTCCTAAGAAAAAATTATTATTTTTTGTTGGTGGTGTTCCCAGCATTAAGTTGAACGACATGTAATTTTCTTCTCACAGATAGAGTGCATGAGTCTGGCACAGTCAGAAGCAGTCATCTGTGATGCTGTTAGACTTCCACAGTTTCCACTCGTTGACTCTTTCCAATCACTTAAACTAAAATAAGAACAAATAAATACTATGAGATATTAATGCAGACATAATCAGCTATACTGGTCCAAAGTGAAGGAGGCGTATCTTTTTGTCTTTACAGAGACTATCCCACAGGGCCCTAAGCTTCCCTAGAGAGAATCATGTGAGAAATATACACATAGACTTCACATTGAAAAACTCCTTCCCTTCTCCGTGAACTCATCTTCATCATTGAGCTTAGCTCCTCTGGAATGTGTGTGTGTGTGTGTGTGTGTGGGCACACACATGTCTATGTGCCCATGCACTGGGTAAATGTGCCTGTATATGTGAATTAATACATACATGTATGTGTGCATTTTTTCTCTGTATGATTTTGGGACTATAAACCAGAAGCAGTGATTACAGGGCTTGCAAGCTCTTCTCTATCCCAGAGACTTACGTTTTGAGAAGGGGTACTGAGTTGTCCTCCCATGTCCAGGGACTGCTGGTTCCTTTACGGGACAACCCAATCCAAGAAAAATAAGATATTTGACTCCGAATGAAGTTCTGTGATAAATGAATCATTATCTATAATTAATAATATTTTAGATTCCTAAAATGAAGTAATAAACTTACTATTATTATATTAATTTTGTTGTTAATGTGAATATCAAATGGTATAAGGATCAACTTCACCCAGAATTTGTTTAATTAAAATAATGGAACCTCAGTTGCTAACACTTCATTAAAGGTAACAACCTAACTAAACCCTTAGTGACAATTATTTTAAATAAGTTTATTTCAACTTAGAACTGAAATTTGTTAACTTCCCTTCAAAATTCAAATTTGTGATTCAAATATGAGTTCTGAG